TCTGGCAGTATGCGGCGCAGTACTGCCACAGTCATCCAGGCAAACGGTGGATATACCCAATATTGACTTTTCGGTGCCTAATTATCAATGTGTGGGTCATGATTGACATTTTGTAATGTGATTTGACAATTCAATAACGTTTTTGAGCTTTCACTGACAATACTTATCAAAGATAATTTTAAGCGTGAAAACTGTCCATATTTTGATGTCATGATATGTAAATTAAAAATTGTTATTTTACGGTGATCTTGTTTTCTTGTGCCCAATAATGCATAATTTCATTTGATAAACACGTTTAGATTGAATGGTAATTTATAATCAGTCACAAGAACGTCGAATCTGAATCACTTGAAAAAAAACACGGGGGTGCTTAACTTTTTTCCAGGTGTATATTACATATAAATCATGTTATGAAGAGTTAAAAGTTAAAAATATTGTTCACATCTATTTCATTACCAATAATTCAAAAGTATAAGAGGGCAGTAATAAATACCTTAGCGTGTAGACGCATTATATCACATATTTTTGACGTAAGTTAGTTATGTTTATAAGCGCTCGCGTGCAAACACGCATTCGCGCGCGAATTTGATGGGCTATGTATTCTATTTTTCATTTTGTCAGAACAATTATAAGTATACACATACATGGACTGTTGGCATGACTTGTAATTGGTTTTGTATAATGACTCCTTATTTCGTAACTATATTATTTTTGAAATGTCTCATCAGATCTCATACAATGAATTCATGCAAGATGTGTGTTAGACGTAGTTTGCTTAATATATACAAATTGTGTAAACTTTTTTTCTAAATCGAGAACATTTGTAATAATTTATTAATTTCAAGTTGTTATATGATAGTCATATTTGAATGTAGGGAAAAATTCATACGAAAATAAATATATGAAATCTAGTGGAAAAAAATGGAATAACATGAAATGTAAAATTCTTAATCATAAAATAAAAAAGCAAGATTTAAGAGTATGAAATAAGGCATACATTTTGGAAACTAATTTAAAATAGGAAAATATGAAAACTCAATGATTAAGAAGTTATCCAGTAAAGATTAAAATATAAATGCCCCTCCTCTTGTGGTGGCTCAGTTTGAGTGAGGATTCATAATGCCCAAAGTCGAGTTTCGATACCCACGGTGGGCACAGCACAGACGCTGAGACAGCTCATTGTGTAGCTTTAAGATTTATAACAAATGAAACATAAATGTTAGGTAGGATGTATTGTATTGAATTAGGATCTTTAATGGACCACATCTTCCTGACAGTAAGAGTAGAGAACGTTTTGACTGTTTGTGCTGAAGAAAACTTAAGCACAGAGAATTAATTAAAGTACTAGAGTTAGATTCAGTCTATAAAAACCCGAAATGCAGTATCAACATATTGACATTGGGATTTATTGAACTTAAAAACATATCTGTAAATTTTTCCTTTGAAATGTTTGTGTTTTTATAAAAATTCACTTTAAAGATAAACTGAGCATGTTGAAAATGAATACATTAGAATGAGAGAATCTATGAACTTAAAATGGAAAAATGTGTGTATTGATATTGGTACTTGTGTATCTTATTACACCATACCAAATTATCCTAGTGTAGTAATGAAATATTGTGGCAAAAAAATAATACAACAAATAATAAGTTTGTTATCTTTGATAACACTGTCTTCTCAGGATAGCCAAGTAGAATTGTGTGAAAACCAAAAATGACATAAAACTACAGCATCCTAGAATATTTGCTACATCTGAAGACAGTTATCACATCATCATAAAGAAATGAGATTTTTGTCAAATTACTAACAAACTCTTAATCATTATCAAGGCCTAGAGATGCTTGAAATTTGGATTTTCCCCAAACAAGTGAACCACAATGATGAAGTCATAAAAGACTACTTACTGATGTGTAATTCTCCAAATACCATAACCATACTGATGAAGACACTTCTGGAACACAAGAAAGAGCTTAGAAACAAGTAATATAAAACACTGTGATGCAGAATCATTAGGTACATGGAAACTCAAAGCCTTAGTAATGAGACTGAAACATCAATCAACTCAAAATTCCTAAAAAAAAGCAAAACATTTATAGTTTTCAAAATATGTTATGTATGTGTATTTGATATCTTTAAAACCTTTCCAGTTTACTATATATGCCTATTGATCTCTTCAGTTAAGTATGTTTAAAAAGGAACACCTTACTGCTCAATTTGAAAATGGTTTGTTAATCAATAATAGCTATATTAATAAAATCACTTGATAAATTTGAAGTGAAAGAATATAAAAGATAATACATTTTTTGAAGCACAGTAGAATATTCTAACCTCCCTCAAATGTTACTTTTGAGATACAAGTGAAGTTCCTTTTTTCAAAACAAAACCTGCATACAATTTAATTTTATAATTATATTTTACATATGTACGAAGTATAATATTCATATTGTGTGCTATATTTGTTTCAATGCAGTTATTTTTAGTTGGTTACCTTTGTAGTTAAACAGATTGAATAAAAACCCTGTTAGTCTTCTCTTTAGTGAGTTACATTTGTAGCTTCAAAGCATTAACAAAGAAGGATCTAGTTAACATCACCTGTGCTAGCACTCGGGCAGAATTATGGGTTGGGGTTGTGCTTTACTTTCATGAAAATATTTTGAAATTTATATCTAAAGCTGTCCTTGTTATTACCATTTTATTATGGAATTGTTTGGATTATGTCATGTTCTCAGAAGAAGAAAGCGGCAGAGGTTGCTGTTACTAGCCTATTTCCCTCTCATTGGAGGCGACCACGTGTGCGCACCTTCCCACAGATGCTCATGTTTGATACTTTGGTAAGTTAGGTTCTCTATGTGTTCGACAAACAAAGCACATACACATTCAGATATTGCTTTTAAGAGGTATGCATTAGCATTTTTACTTAACAAGAATAGTACATATTTTGTTGTCTTACATCTGTGAATTATTGTTAGGCTTCAGTTTATTATCAAAACATCATCATTGAATTAAACATTAATTTTCAAAGGTTAACTTATGATTAGGGGTAACATTTTGATCATTTGAACTGCAGAGGATGAGTATGTTATATTAAAATGATTTTGTTCTATAATTAAAAATTTTATGTTGCCACATCCACTCATGTTCTATCTGATGACCTTTTTTCTTGACAAAACCCTGTGACATAGTTTCTGTTGCTTAAGTCTCTGCCATGAGGCTATCTTCTCCAAAGTATGCCACTCTTCCTTCCACACATTCTACAATCAATCTAGCATATAAGAATGACAGTCTTCAATTGTCCATTTCAGTAGTCTGATCCCATAGAAATCAATAGAAACTGCATTCAGTATCTTGACCAGTATGTCTTTGAATGGAAACTGTGAATACTCATTTCATTCTCCAGCTGCTTGAGGTATAGAGTGGTTAAATAGATATGTCATGGAGGCAACTTGTGACTTGTGTCACTTTTGTAGATGGAAGTTCTTTATTGTTATGTTGCTTGGGCAGGTGGGTGGCTTTTGCTTCTTAACTATGTGTTCCTGTATTCTCACCCATTACAAAACTTCTCACTTTGCTTACCATGGCTATAGTAAGACTTGTTACAGGTTTCTCATTGTATGGTCTTGGTGCACCAATTTGATCCATATTCTTTTGTTTATTAATGCAACATGAGGGATATCTCCATTTTGAAAATTCTGAATCCTCGATCTGTATATGTTTTTATGATCTGAGTGTAACAATATTTTGCTTAGGAAAGGGCTGTTACATAATCCTTCCCAAAAGTGATCAGTTTTGGTGGCATCACACTACCTGCCAAATGCTAAACATTGTCAAAATACATGCCATTCCACTGCAACTTTATATTACTGTGATTGTTGTGTGACTTGCTGATTTGCATATTAAGGTATAACATTTTAACATCACATACTTGACCTCTGTATTCATTCATTTAGAATGTTAATGAAATGTGAATTCTTATTTTCACAGAGGTATTAATTGATACTTTGTTATGAAGATTTTATTAAAAGTAGTACAAAAATATCAAAATCATGTGTATGAGTTAGAATAATGGTTGTTAATCTATTGCAGTAGGGTGCATAAAAAAGAATGCTATCTGAGCATGAAAAATATTTGGAATACAAAGAATAATTTGATATACTTTAGAAGCTGACATGACCAGTTAATCAGCAAATAATATATTGACAGTGAAACTAAGAGGTAGTAGCATGCCATGATGCACCTTTTTTTTTTTTCTTTATATCCATATAAAGTGACACACACACACAATCATGTGCAGGTATTTCTTACAAGTAATTTGCATTGAAGTATTTTGAGTGAAGTATTTTTTAAGTTTATAAATGAATTAGCTCAGCTCATGTATATATATTTGCAAATTAACCTTCAATTTGTACTTATTTTAAAATTTATATCACTTTTCTATTGAGTTTTACCCAGGTTTCAAGGCTGATTATGATTACAATGCATACGAGCACAAAGCTTGAGGATAAGCTAAATACTGATTAAGAAGAAATGAAATTTTAATCAAAGATAGTGTATGATTCAAAATGTTAATGTGCAGATGGGATTTTGTTTTAGTTTTAGGTGAGTCTTTGGATGTATATGTAGCTAAATAAATATATGGATGTATAGATAAAAACAAATTAAGGTTACAGCATGATTATAATCTTTGAAAGAAATATGCTGTTTGGGTGAAAATAACTTTGCCTAAACATTGTTTACTTCTTTAGCTCTTCTGTTTCTTTTCAAATCATTTATGGTTTTAGATAAGTGGAATTCTATTATTATTAAGAAAGATTATAATGCAAATGTGTACACAAATCACATATGGACATTTGATGTTAATTATTTCAAATACAATGTTAAACAACATGGTAGTTTCAGTAGTATCAAGTTTAAATAAATCTATTGAAATTGAATTTCCTAATAGCTCTTCTCTGGACAATTTCCAGTAAGTCAATAGCATTTCTTAGATAGGGAGACCAAAACTGGAGAAAATATTCCAAGTGAGGCCTTACTAGTGATTTGTATAAAGTGGTAATTGCATCTTTTAATTTGTAGTCACTGTGTCTATAAATATACCCCAGAATACTATTATCCTTGCTGCTAGCAACAGAGCATTGCCTAGATCAATATTTCTTAACCTTTTCGATACCAGGGTCTGGCTTGCTGCCTCCCTGAACTGTTGCGAATCATTAATATGCAAGCATGGTGAAAACCCATTAAATTTCCCTCTGAAATTTTCCTGTCAGTTTTTGTTTGTTTATTTGTTTTTGTAAGATCCCACAGACTGGAAATATGGTTGTGACAGGCCAGTGGTTAAGAAATGCCAGCCTAGATTACTTTAGTGACTTGTCCATCACTTTGTCAAGGTCCTTTTCTTCAGTCATGCTATTAAGTATGTTACCATTCATATTAAATGTGTTATCCAAATGATAATAGCCCAGATGGATTACCTTGCACTTACTATAATTGTAGGTCAGTTACCAAATATTTATTAAATCAAGTAATTGATTCAAGTTGTTCTGTGGTACCTATGGTATCAGAACAGCTAGAAAGGCTCAAGAGTTTAATGTCATCCACAAAGTTTACTATTACTAATTATGCCGCTATCAATATTGTTAAAGTAATTATGAAAAAGCATAGGTTCAAGCACTGAACATGAGGCACTCCATCAGTAATAAGAATCCAGTTTGGCTGGACTTTGTTAATGACAGTTTTTCCTTTCTCTTCTCCAATCATTCAGTAATTCAATTTACTAGTTTTTTTTCCATCCTACAGCTTTTTTTTTCTTTGTGTGTGTGTGTGTGGCATCTTACAACAAAATATGTTCGGAAATTCTATATATACCAACATCATACAAGAATACAAGAACTAAAAGTTATAATCTGTTAAAAGTAAGAAAAATAAAGAATATTAAGTGTTTTATTAAATATTATCTGGTAACTCAAATACTGGTTGATCCATTAATCAAATATATGAAATACATAAATGTACAGTGTACATGTTTTGAAAGACTTAATACCACAATTATTTTCTTCTTTCTACCAGGCAAAAAAGTAATAACCTGCTGTAGCTGCCTGTACAAGTGGTTCACTTTTTTTCTTATACAAACAGTTTGTAATAGTAATGACAAACAATACCATTACATACTTTTAATGTATATGTATCATACATAATTGTGCAAGTAAAGTGTTTTAGGTACGTGACCTACTTCTTGATTGTTTAAAATACTTCAGATACTTTTATAAGCTTGCCAATGTCTTGTCTTCACTTCTGTGCTACTTTGGGTAGTTACATTTCAACATGAACTAAATTATTTCTCAGTCTCTGAAGGCAGCTACACTTATTCTGAGTAATAATACAAATTCTAATTTTGTATAATAAAACACTTACTGTAGGATAGAGGCCATTTAAATCTGTAGGTTATGCTCAGTGGCTTTAAGACAGAATTTTTTTAAATAATAGATCTTTGTACTATGCTAGGATTCTGTAGCTATTATTAAATTATGATTAACTTGAATGATGTATCCTGTGAAACTAGACCTAAGGATATAATTAAATAGTTGGTTAACCTCTGACTCTTATTCAAGACATTTGCTAAGAGTTATTATATGTTCATATTCCATCCTGTCACAATTCATCATAGTTTGTGTCATTCACATTATCAGCATGTTACTACTGGTAGTACTCTTAATGCACTGGCTTGGTACTTGTAGCTCTTATTACATCATTATTATATGTTCAAAAGTGTAATTAAAATACATATAAGAGAGAATGTCAAAGGCCACAAAATAACCTGAACCATTCGTATTACCAATATTTTGAATGACACTTCTAGCTGTACTTTCTGATTTCATGGCTAGAAGCTCTTCTTCAAGTACTTTCCTGAATACTTATTTTCCCATATGTTTATAAAAATTTGTCCAACATTCATATATTAAATACAGAGTTTAACTGTTGTGTTTAAAGTTAATTAAATAATGATCTGTATCCTGCATTGTTAGGTGTACAGCAGTTACATTTATGTTCTACCTACATTTTGGACATGCTTCTTCAATGTATAAATGTGTGATATTGGCATTTGTACAGCCTTAAATAGTAGAATGTTTTGTAGAGAGAGAGAAAGTGTGTTTACTACAACAGTTTTATAATTTTGGGTGAAATGGTAATTCTGTTGTTTTATTCATCCCATTAATTAAGTGTAATACACATATATATTTTGATGGCATTAAGTTGAGAAATATGTCTAATGTAAATATATGTGTTAATGTGTGTTGCAAGATATACAATTTATATGCATGTGTGTTTGGATGTTTCAAGTGTATTTAGACAAAAAAAAAAAGTGCAAAATAGTAGTCATATAGGAATTTTGGTTACATAATAGTTTGCTTGTGTAAGTGGTTAAATGTTTAAACTCCAAACTGCAGTATCTTTTATATATTAAGAATGGTGATAGAAAATTTGTGAGCCTAGTACAGCAGCTCAATACAGATTTTATTTTATTATTGATATAAAAATCAAAATAATATGCAGTGAATAGGCCTTCTTTAAACTAGTTGATGTAATTTGCTATTAAATTGTCTCTTAACTTTTCCTCAGTATTTGTTTGTAACTATATTACATAGTCTTTCTAGTTATTTGAACATGGTTGCTTTGGTTAAAATCATAACCACATATAAAATTGGCATATATTGTCTTTCCTTATCATAAGTGTGTTTCTTTGTGATTTAGTATTACCCCAAGAAAGAGCACTATTTATCATGTATCTTTCACACGTGTTTATTCATTGGTTTTGTGCATGAAGATTTTTTATAACGGTATCACTACACATGCATGTATTTTCAGCTCTCCTCTTTACATTATGTATTTGAGTACGTACCTATTAACCAAACTTGTTGGCTTGCATAATTTATTATTGTAATTCTTTATTCTGCATACTAGTTTTATTTAGAGTGAAGTTTTTGAATCATGGAAGTACTTTTTTCTAGCTGTATATAATATGCACAGCTCATAAATGATGAAAACAACATAAAAACCTGATAAAATGTAGAATTTTAGAGATAATTATATATGATTTTAAATTATCGTGAAGTTAACCAGAAATATAAACATTTTATTTCTGTATGTAAAAGTTTTTAACCTTATACATAAATGCATTTCCTTCATGTTTCTTTGTTTTTTATCCTGCTTAACAGTTATAAAGTCTTCTTTATTCCCATAGTTAGCTATTTCTGAAAAATAATATTAAACAAGATACATGTTACACTTTAAATTACGTATCACATTGTTTTCTCAGGTTCCAACTGAAGACTTACACATAGCATCAAGGCTTCTAATTGAAGCCATTCGACTGAGGAAGAGTTATATGGAAGTTTCTAACCAAAGTTTTCCCTCATTAACGTCTCGTTTTTTACAGTCTGTGAAAGGTGATAATGGTAATACTGAGAATATGTTCATGGAAGCAAATCTGGCTGAGACCCAAAGTGGTGAAGGTATAAGTTGTTTTATTAATTGTGTTTGCAATATAATCTTTGTGTATTTAACTTAACAAATGCACCGTTATTGGTTATACACCAGTAAAAAATAATAAACCAGTGAAGGTGAAATTAAAATCATGTAATCTACACCATTATATGACGATTTTATCGTTGTTTATCAGTATCTAAGAGCTAATTCTTTTTTACATGTACACACATTATAAGGTATAACTACTTTAAAAGTCCTGGAAATTATATCAGCTTATTGTGTAAGTGTAGTAAAGATAGTAAACTATTGGCATTTGAAGATAGGATTATATTCAAAAATATAAATACTTTGCCTGTTTTGATGTATCTATTAGTAATAACTTTTATCCACTGGACAAACTTCAGTTCTTTTGAGCATAGTTATTTCACTCTTCTAAAGTTCTCTAACCATGAAAGTAGATTAAAACCTATTCAGTTCTATGTTATGGTCACTTATTTGGAACATTAAAAGAGGACTATCACATTACCAAGTGTTCCTTTATGTTAGGTCCATTTAATTGTTAAATATGATACTAATTTTGAATGGGGAAGACCATTGAAAATATATTTCTAATTTGGTTTTAAAATTGGTTTATTTTAATAAAGAAAACTTTTATGACAGAAAAATTGTGAAATATATATGATTTTGAAAATAATGATAACTATGTGAAAAAGAAATTTGCAGTTTATGAAAATTTCTTGGTTAATATTGAAACAACAACATGTACAGATAAACATAGTTACACACAATGTACCTGACAAACAAATCTTAATATATATGGTCTCTTACTAGTTCTAAATCCTAAAAGTACAAACAAAGATACAAGTATTATTCAAGGATAATATATGATATCGCTAAGAAAGCTTTGAGGAATTCTTCATATAATTGGAAGTATTATACAAACTTTGAAATTCTGAAGTTATTGAAACTATCAGAGCAATGAAGGGCACTTTTGCAAAAGTAATCATTAAAAAATATCAAATTTGCATTGAATTTTGATGTATTTTACTTTTAGGTGAATATTATGAGTTTCTACTATTTCAGTTATTTACATACATAGATGAAAGTGAAGAATGTGACACAGTAAACAAAACTGATTTCCAAGAGACGTATTCTAGAATGTCGGTACTTTGATTTTATATAAATTTAAGATTTTTCATTAATTTAATTTTTTTTTGCCTTTATAGTTAAACCATAATTTATAAGTTTTTGTTTGAAATTTCATACATTTTTCTATTTAAACTAACATATGGTTCAGACTTATCAGTTAATAGGTTTTAAATTAGATTGAATGGTTACTTCATTAGGATCCCCTCACACACACACATGTGCACACTTGTAGAACATGACATTTACTTGCAATGTGCAAAATAGTCTAAACCTGTGAATTGTTTAGTTATCAATTAAACAATGTAGAGATGCAGTCGTATCATGATTAGTATATGAGACAGTGAAATATTTCTCAACAAGTAGGATACAACAGAACAAGCCACCATCTGGAATCTTGTGGAGTCTATGCCATAATGAGTTTAGGCCATTACTGTGATGAAGGGTGATCCAGTTAGGTTTAAGGGTTGTTATAATGTGACCAGTCAGTGTATGTTGCAGTATATAGTTTCTGCTTTAGTACTAAAAAATGCTTTAAAGTTATTTTTAGTAAGTTATGCAGGATATTAATTTTTATTTTAATATATTTAAAACAAACAAGCTAGTTCTTATGAAGATAATAGCAATAAGGTAGTAAAAATTGAAGTACCTGTAAGTACAATTACTGTTAAGAAACTATCAACAGAATAATGTTTATGTAAGCTCAGTTCTTTCCATTGGACTCTTTAACAAAATAAGTGCAGTCTTGCTTGATGCAACTACATCTAAATTTGAGTCCTTCTGATGTTATTTAGAAATTCTTTATATATTGAGGTAATACTTAAATATTTAGATGCATGGCACACTTTGTATGTATGGTTTCAAGCTGTTCTGTTTTCTTTCTACTGGATACTAAATACATTTAAATATTGCTTGACTTTACCTACAAAACAATTTCTAATTAGATATCTAACATTGAATTAATTGCAGAAATAATTTTCACTTTGTAGCTGGATGTAATCATATATTGTTTTAACGTAAAGCTTTACATTTTTAAATACCACCCCACTGCAGTTTAATGATAATTGCTTTATTTATGGTACTTCTTAAATATAATCATAAAACACTACAGAACTATGTTATGATTTTATGTAACACTACTTGATGAGAGTCATTTTTACTCTATAATTCTACTTATTCTTAACTCATCAATACTTTATGCTCTGAAATTCCCAGTTTAATTTGCAAAGAAGGGAGATTTTGGATTAAAAGCTGCAACATTTTTACTGTGTTTGCTTTTCTAAGGTATCAAGGAGAAGCTGGCAGTAAGGTCAAAACGTAAGAGTACTTTTCACTGGCACTTTTTACTAACAAATTGCAGTGGATGCTGTGTGATGCACTAATATAGTTCCTGTTACACATCAACCAAACATCTTGCCTGTTTCACATTGTGATGTCTAATGAATGTGGCAGTATGTGAAAGAATTTAATCAGATCAATTTTAACATAGAACATTGTCACAAGTGTGTTCTTTGCAGATGATATAATACAGAAATAAATATTTCACATGTTTTGTTGTTACTTCAGTTATGTACAGTTAGCAACTTTTAGAGGATAGAATTTTTTTTTTCATTTCTGAGATTAATATTCATTTATTTAAGTGTTTTATTAATATATTTAATAATATTGATCACAATCGTTTTTTTAATTGCAAATGTGATTCTAATGTAATGCATGTCTGTATTTAAGTGATGAAAGATGCAAATATACACACACATGGACACAAACATTTGTATAATTTATTTGGTCATGTTTTATATAATTTGATGCATTAATTGTTTTTTACAACTTTACTTGTATGAATTAAATGGATTACTTCTGTTGGTTATTAAGCAATTTGTTTGTTTCACATACTCGTTATTGTTTTCTTTATGACACTTAAAAGTAGCTTAAATGAAATGGTCTGGTTGTTATTTTACTCATGTTTTTATGAAATTCCATGGACCGGCAAGATGATTATGATGAACTTCTACCAGTCTGCAGACAGGTGGTTAACAAACACTGGCTTAAACTATACTTTTTTGCTGAAAACATTTTAAAGCTAACTTTTCTATACAATTCCTTGAAGGTACTTTTTTAACCATAATATACATTTAAAGTCACTTCATGGATATAAATGTACACATACAGTAAAGCTAAATGATCGGATTTGTAATGATGGTTATTCTACATGTGTGTGTGTATATAACACAATACAGTGTGGGATATGTTTTGTTGTTTTAATTCCAGTAATCTTCATTTAGACAATTTCCAAAGCTAATTAGATCACTAATATTAAAATTAATAAAGAATATTTATTGTGTGTCGTATTAAATAATTTTACTCAGAACTAGCATATTTAATTGTTTGAATTATTTGGAGGAAAAAATCATTTTTTTTAAAGTTTCTGAATAGATAATATTATTGTTTATTTGTGATGTCTTCTTTTTAAATCTCAGATGGGAAAAGATATATACAGGCATAAAAATTTAAGCCCCTGTTTTTGGACATTTTAAATGTTGCCGTCTAACAGCCAGATTGTTTGGATTTGACAAGTTTGATAATTAGTTGATTGAATTTATAAACTACAGACCATCCTTACCATGACCCTCCAACTGTAAAACACCCCTGGACATGTGTTCTCCCAGAAAGTGCAGGATACCAACTAAAGATGGAAGATGGAGTAATTCAAGTCTATCCCAGCAAAGAAGATGTGGAAAATGGACATCGTTGTGACTATCCTTTCCCCTCACTGTCAGTTTTTGTCCGTGACATGAACTTGATGTGTGCAATGATTGCAGATGGACCCTTGTAAGAGCCAGCAATTTAATAGCTCTCTATTTGTATACTCTTTACATGTTGTCTTTTATGACAAAGTTATTTGCAAGTTTTAAAACTATTGAAGTTAAGTGTAGTTTTTAAAATGTACATATAATGCATTAGAAACTGATTAAATGTGTACTTATGCTGCCAAATTTAAAAGTTCATATTCATGAGGTGGTATGACTTAATGCTTTCATATCCAAATAGTTTGCATGAGGGTTCATGATTCATGTGCTGTTGCCTGAAAAATGTGCTTTTTACTTTGGGGCCATAAGTAAGCAATAAGAGTGATTGTCAAATGCCATTATTTAGTAGCCAAAAGTAGTCCAAGAGTTGTCAGTGGGATACTATTGAATAAGCTGCCTTCCCTTTAGTCTTGTCAGTTTATTATTAGAGATGGCTATGTGTGAGTAGCCTTTTTGTAGTTTTGTTTGAGAATTCTAAAACAAACAATATATTGTTGATGAATTGTAATATAACTGAAATCTCCAGTGAACTTAATGATGATTGAAGTTGTTCTATTTCATTATACGTGTTATGACTTTAAACCTGCAGGTTATTTAGTTCTGAAGATTAGAATAAAGTTTTTTACATTCATAAAACAGTATATAATTAATGATTTTCATATCAGGAAATCCTTCTGCTACCGAAGGTTAAGTTACTTGTCTTCCAAGTATCAACTGCATGTACTGCTGAATGAGTTGCGAGAGCTGGCTGCACAGAAGGCTGTTCCTCATCGAGATTTCTATAACACTAGAAAGGTAATACAAAAGCTTGGTATTTTTTATTGACATAAAATTAATGCTAATTTGTTGATGGCAAAGAACAGAACAGTATCTTGGTCAGCGTATAACATCTACAGTAAAGCATGCTAGAGTACCAATATAAGTTTGGGCTGCATCTCAGTCAATGGCATAAGTCTATGCAAAACTGATGGTATTATATGACTGCTGACAGATACAAGCTGATTCTTATCCATCTTGAAATTCACTCAGAAACAAAACTTGTTGGGCAGGTATTTATCTTAGAGCAAGACAGTAGTCCTAAGCATACAACAAATGTGGTTAAATGATACCTGGAAGTAGAAAAAAAACTGATGGAACACTCACAGTCATGGCTTGGCCTGATTAAAACCCCTGTATGAAAATGTCATTAAGATCGCATGAGCTTAGGTGGAAACCGAGAAGGTAGAATTTGAACCATACAGTTTGACTGAAATGTAGGGAGTACTACAAGACATTTGCAACAATATTTTGGTCATACATTGATAAACCTATGTTAACATGAAGACAAAAGGTATTGCTATTTTGCAAATACAAAATACTAGTACATTCTATAACTTCTTCCCTTTTCTTTCATCATTTCTATAATAATGTATTATGCTGATTATAAATGGACAATTCAGCTGCAATTATTAGTGTAACAGAGCATCTTATCAACCTCACAGAATGCTGCTTAAGCAACCTTTATTTTACATAAAAAGGCCAGCTTTACAAACAAAATAATGGATTAGTGATGGGGGATCCCCCTTATTTTTATCCTCTACTTAGTGACCTCTATGTGTCTGCTGTAGAAGAATAACTGTTTGGAAACAAATTCACACACACCAATAAACTTAAAATCTGGTTAAGGTATGTAGACGACATCTTCAGAATATGGTGACATGGGAAAGATGATACACTACTTAATTTCATTCAATGCTTAAATACATTAAGACCCATTGTCATAATTTTCACACATGAAATAGAATCTAACAGTTGTCTCCCCTTTTTAGATGTGAATGTAAAAAAGAGAAAATAATAAAGTTACCAACAGTGTATACAGAAAACCTCATTCCATCACCATGCCACCACACATAAGACCTACCGTATTTTACAGCATATAAGACACACATTTTTTTTTCCTGAACAATACCTCTAAAAATCATACTACATCTAATATGTGATGTTAAAGAAAATGCATCTTTCAGTTTTTCCCCCATAAGCTAAATTCTGTGTAGTCTTCTCCCAGCCAACTGTAGATTAAAATATAAAAAATTAATCTACACAAGAATATATGATTAGGCTTATAATTAATGAAAAAAACTTGCTAAATGTATGAGTAGATATATAATAGATAATAATGATCCAAGTTCACCCGGTTCTTCAGTGCTAAGCAGTAAGTGTTTCTGAATTCTCATGAACACTACTGTCTACTACAGTTCCCCTTTGCAATGTGCAACAGTTCTTAAACTGCTCATGTGCAAAAGAAACCCAGGCCTTTTCCCTTACTTCCACATCAGGCCAGTACAGTTTATTTGCTGGGGACACTGATATCCACAACAAACATCAACTGAAATAGGCTTGTCATTTGAAAAGCAATATATTACATCTTCTTACCCTGGAGTGACTAATGGTAAATTCTGTACTTTCTATTTGTTATAAGAAAAACTGTTGCTTAGCAACAGATTACTTTGGAATGTATTGATGTTATTTGCAGTAAACATTAATTGCTTTGATACAATATTCTTTGCTAAAATATGGGTGTGTGTCTTATATGCTGTAAAATATGGTAGTCACCACCTATCACAGAAAATATTGTCCTACTTCACCTGTGTGATATACAACTTTGCACCCACAAAGAAGACTTACTAACTGAATTGAACTACTTAAATAATATAGCACTATTTAGAGGTTTCAACTCAAACATCATAGGTAGGGCTTGTGTCAAACTTCAAAAGAGTAAAAAATGTTATGTTTACTCTAACCTTTCACCCATTGGCAACATAAAACATAGCAAATTTGTTTCATTTATATTTTTACCAGAAATTGCTAATGAAATTACTAGCCTATTTAATAAATTGAGCATTGATGTAAAAACTGTATTCAAACCTTCACATAAAATCAACACCTTACTTATCTAACCTGAAAAACTCCTTACTAAAGGAACAAAAACAAGATATGTATGTATATATATGATGTGAATGTGCAAAAATATATAAGACAAACATCACATTTCTTAGAAATAAAGAATCAGAAAACACTAAGGTCAATACATAGAGATGTATTCCAGATATTTGCTTTAACATATCAATGTGAAGCAGGTCACAAAATACTTTGGGATGAAATTCTTTTCCTATACCAACCAAAAACTAAAAGAAAGAGACTGTTTAGAAACGTTAGAAATTATAAATGGAAATGATCTCTTACTAAACCATGACAGTGGCCCTAGCAAAAATCAGTTGTATTTGGTAAGATCTATTCACCTTTCATACACTTGACCTCTACCTATATCCTGGCACCTGCTGATACTATTTCTGTCACATTTAATCCTTGTGTCTTTTGTCTTTATAATGATAGATAAACCTTGTATCTTGTATTGTTTAGTATTGATTATACCTGAAGATAGTATGTTCCATTATCAATAAAATTCTTCCTTATGCTTATATATCATTGTTTACCAACCTATTATTATATTTTCCTGGTTTTACTATTTCATGTTACTGATTTTAAGTTGTATTTTTTACTGAGCTGAGTTTTATTGTTCTTTTTCTATGTTATTTGTGTCCTATATTGATGTAGACTCTTCTGTATGTATACCTTTAAAAATTGTTTCAACTTTAAAGTTTTTTTACTAAACTGTTGATTTATCTCATTAGGTGGACACCCATATTCATGCTTCTTCGTGTATGAACCAAAAGCACTTACTGCGTTTTATTAAGAAAAAGATTAAAATCTGTCATGCAGACATTGTATGTAAGAAAGATGGTGTTCCAATGACTCTAGACATGGTAATTATTTTTCACAATGTGGAATACTAACCAAAATGTTACATTTTAAAATGTTTACTGGTAGCAGTAAGATATATTATGTGCTGTCATTACATATACATCACTTGTGTTTTAGTAGAGACCATACTAATAAACACTAGTTGTTGTAGTTGGTATTTTCTGCATTCAACTATTCAAATTCTATTCATAATGTCAGCAGAATGAATTAAATGCTAAAGCTGAAAACTAAATATTGTGAAGAAATGTTTGGTAATCAGCTTTAAGAAAGACTAACTCATTATTATCATTATCGAAATTTATTAGTTTATAGAGAAATATAATTGGTCTTCAAACTTAACAAAGTATTATAAAATATTACAAAATATATAAACTCTGCAATATGAAGTCAAAATTAATCAGGAAAATAGAAAATTCGAGACAAAAGACGTTAGGTAAAGATTTTATACAAAAATTTTATCATATAAACCCTAATTCTGAGGGGAATAAATTGTATTAACACCAAATGAAATAATCTTGATCAATAAAATTATTTTTGTATAAATTATAACTATATTGTGTATAAAATTAGTGTGTTCTCAGTAATGGACTTTAAGCTTGGTTCATTTGAACTAGTTACTTTGTCATATAACTTTAAGTAGATTTTGTTTTTAAATTGGTTTTGGTTTTTTTTTTTTTAGAAGGTCATGTAATATTTAGTATAAGTTAGTGTTTTAAGATAATTAAGTGAAAGATTTAGATATAATTGTTCAAGGTGTGAAAGTTTAATGTGAATATTCTAAGAAATTTCCTCTACCTTTCTTTTTTTAAAATGTACTGTTAGGCTGTAAATAATAGTTGAAAGTGCTTATCTTTGTATTTGTAAAGTAATGGCTGTTCTTGTTACTATTAAAGTATTTCCTCTTATTATATAGTAAAGTATTGTTATTATATGCATTTTGTAACAAT